AGACATAATTTTAATAATAACAATCTTTATTATTTTACAACAAACTTGTTAGACGATTCAAACGCACAAATTATTTTGATAACTGACAAAATCATATCTGAAACTTTCAAAAATACAATGAAAAATTTTATTCGATTCTTTTACCAAGTTGATACTCTCTCAATTCAACAAAAATGTTGTAACATTAGCTTAATAGAATGATTAAATACATGTTTTGTTGATTATGTTCTCCAACGCACTTAAGTATGTGATAATTTAAGTTTACCATAAACTATAAGTTTTCCATGTAGCATAAACACCGTATCTTAATAAAGTGGATTAGATAACAATCTACAATGTAATGCAGTCTGGTGGAGCTGCAATGAACGAAAAACAGTTGGGGGGAGGGGTTAGGGAGGATAGTATACAGAATTGTGGAGAGAGGAATCTGCGGAGGTACTGCCGCTGCGCCGTGAGGAGCAAATACTAGTGGAAAACAATTGAATTAGTCCGTATTTTGTGACAGGTGTGGTTGAGCTGTGACTAAACGACGCTACATTTGACTGTAGCAAACGAACAATCGCAAAGTTTGAGTTGTGCTTTTTTATGTACTGCCTGAAGTAGAAATCATAAAAATACTGATAAAAATATCAGGTGCATAAATTTTAAGGATTTTCTAAAAAATAATTTTAAAGGTTTTTTCAAAGTAACGCATATTATAAATTTTACTTGAAATATTGATCATCGTTTTCACCTATCTTTAAAAATCTTTTAGGTAGCATAAATTCTTCGTTGTGGTTGGGAGGTACAAAGTTTAGGGAATACGGCAGCTGGAGTATGGCAACCCAGTAAAGTGCTTTCTAAGTTTTCTACACGACTTCAGCAGCATGTTGTCGATCATTGTCGTGCTCAAAAATTACTTTGTCATGTCTGTTAGCATATTGGGGGCATTTTAGTTTTAATGCTCAGCTTAATTACATCATTTGTTGCTATACTTTTCAATAACGTTTTTTTGTTTGAAAATAAAATAATGAATTAATATTTTAATGAGCATGCTTTTTCTAATGTTTTTAGAGCGGAAAAAAATAAAATCACTGTTTTCGTATTGATTTAAATTATAAGTATGCAAAAACACGTAGAAAAAAAAACAGACAAGATTACAACAGTAAAAAAACACGATAGTGTTCCAGACAAGTAGTATAGGTACATAACCGAATAGAAACAATAAAAAATTTTATAAAAGGCGCTAAGAAATAGATAAAAAGTCATGTATTTTTGTTATCAGAGTCATAAAAATAGAAATACAGAGGCAATCGCACACAAAGATACAAAAACATTCGTAGCTACCTCATCTACTTGTAGCAAGTTTACGAAGTTTTTCTACCTTATGGGACTTGAGCTCTATAGTATTCGGACATTAATTAAAGAAAATCTCGCTTAAAAAACTAAGCCATCAATGCATGTGGCTTGTGATCTTAAGTGCTAAATTTTGATATCCAATAATGAACACTCACAAGTTATCGCTCTCTAATTTTAATGAAATTCTTAGTTGTTATAGAGTGTTATTAAATATTCAACATGTGCTATTTTAGCGGCCTTTACATAGTTTTAAGTAGTTAAAACCACTTTAAAAGCTTACTCCTAAAAATTATTTTTATAAGTATATCGTCTTCTATTAAAGGTTTTTTAATAAACAAAAATTTGATGTATTACTGGAGGCCAAGTAGAGTCACGTCCCTATTCAGGTAAGATTGACCCACCAATATTTTTTGTACGTATTTTTGCCTGCTAAACATGATTTTCGATGGTTGGTCACTCTCAGACTAGTCAAATTTTTTATTACCAAATGTTGCAAAATATAAAACATTAATTTTCTGAATCTTTGACTCATTTTAAACAAAAAGTTGTATACAAAGTGTATTCTAAAAGTTTTGAAAAATGCCTATTTTTTAGTTTTCAATTTATCAGATGAAATCTACCAAAATTATTTATGGTATACGAGCCATTTCTGAAAACTCTATTTTCCAACTGTAAGTAATCTTAAATCATGAATGGATTATGTTTTTTTTATCAAAAAGTATTTTAAATATCTTTCAAATGAAACAAATACTCATAACGTCCTTTTTGCTGACAGACATGCAAAAGTGTCACGTGAATACGCGTCATAGGCACGTAAGTAGTTTTCGCGTAATAATTCTGTTGAAAATTTTATCGTCTTTAAAAGTTGTTTAATATAAGATTTTATAACCGGGATATTGACTTTACAAAAACGGTATAATCTAGGTTCAGTTCAGTGGTGACAAGTATTAAATCATTAAAATCGAAAAAATGATTAAAAAGTAGTCGACTAAATCAAAAATTTTTTTCTAAAGCATTAATAGGTATCCATCAATGCAATCGCAAAATTGTTACTCATTGTATTCACATACATATTTACGCCCTTGATGTTTTTCAAAGCATTTATAATTCTGCATACAATGTGTGAATAGCTATATATCCTAATTTAAATGTAAATACCATGTTACAGCAATAAGAAAAAGTTGTTTCAATTTTTTTTTACTAATTATCACGCTTATACCCTGCAAATTATAAGTGCTCCATCTCTATGATCGAGTCTCAATCAACAGATCGACCAAGATGTCACTAAACAAACAATTTTGGAAGAGTATATATTTGTAACATATTATACAAGCTTTGAAGTAGAGAATATTGTGATTACTTTTTTGATTTATCTTTAGAAGTAACTCTAAGCTTTTTTAATTTAGATGTGCTTGCTTATCTGAAAGCTAGGAAAAAATAAGTGAAAGTCTGCGTATTAAATAGAAAAAATGGAAATTTTCTGTGAATTCCGAAGGTTATAGTATTTGTCTTCATTTTATGTCGTTTAATTAAATGATGACTTCTGTAGAAGATTTTGTAAAGTATTAGGACCATAAAAGTGAGACGTGTCAAGTAATATATTTTTCTGCATAAAACTTCAATCTCTTTTTTATTTTTTAACACAGAATTTTCAAAAATAAAAATTAATATTATTACTAACAGCTTATACCAGTGTCACAATATATCTTACTAAATACATACACCCACTAGCACTCAGACTCTTTAATAATAATATTTTTCATCTTACTATCTTTAATTTTAAATTACAGTTGTGTCATTTATAATAGAAGTGTATATCCAAGATGGAATAATGAGTTCACGTTAGCGTACGTATAACACACATCATGACAGTGAATGTTTATTGAAGATAGTTGTTTCCTAAATCAAAATTATCTAAAAAGGTACGAAATTGTCAGCAAAACTAATATAATCGTCGAGAAATAAGTGTAAACAATTTGAGACCGATTTACCACGTCGTTATTAAAACATCCTCGTCAAAAAATCACTGTTTTAACATTGGAGCAATGGTGCAAACACTACATAGCCCCATTATTTAAAAAAATGTAACTTACCGCATATCTATAAATAATTGAAAAACTACTGAAAACTACCTTAAACAGTCAAGAAACACATACATTTTTTGAGAATTTCTTATCTCATAGTTTTAAAGTAATAGTAATCAAAAAAAGGCTCTTCGTTTGATTTTGGAAAATAACCAAGTAAGTATCGCGTATGTGGCAACGTCGCATTGTCACATGAATACAAGTAGATAGATGTGTATGTTTATGTATGTATAAGTAAAGAGCGCGTGGTGGCTTAGTCGGCTAGGTCGTGGATTGGCACGCGGGAGACCGTGGTTCAATTCCCGGCCAGTGCGACTTTTTTGAGCAAGTAACTCTTTAAATTTTCACATGGGCTTTTTCACCACACAATGCTCCTCGAGGAAGGATTAGGCGACCTTTTTACAGCAAAAATTGCCTAATTTTCTCCTACTCCCCCTCATGCAATGGGAGGCCTCCCATCCCTTTCCTTGTCCCTTCCTCAAGTGAAAAGTGCCCATAGTAGTGTCCTTAGTAAAAAGGAGCCGGACGTAGAGCACTATAACATTTTGTGTGTGTGTATGTGTGTGTGTGTGTGTGTAAGTACACGCAAAGGCATTCACATTTCACTCTGATGTTTTGAATACCGGATGATATTTTTATATAAAAAATTCAGCAATTTTTCAGATTTTCCAGCGTAAACCATTCGCAAACCATGTAAGCATAAATTCTTCGTTGTGGTTGGGAGGTACAAAGTTTAGGGAATACGGCAGCTGGAGTATGGCAACCCAGTAAAGTGCTTTCTAAGTTTTCTACACGACTTCAGCAGCATGTTGTCGATCATTGTCGTGCTCAAAAATTACTTTGTCATGTCTGTTANAAACCATTCGCAAACCATGTAAATTAAATCTAAATGTAAAAATACTAGTCGGTGAAATTAAGAATTTTTTTGTGCTGTGGTAAGAGGTGCTCGGAAATAAAAAAAAATTGGCCAAGATACATTAAAAATGCTTAAGGAAATCCTGAAATCTGACCGATCTTGCACACACACACTGAGAGAGAGAGAGAGAGAGAGAGAGACCACAGCCACAGTACTTTATGTAAAATCTTAACTTTATGAAACATATGTGTATCCCACTGTCTCTGTACGTAATTTTTTCATATTGCAAAGCTTTCTCTATGAGCAAGCAAAATATCTACTTATTAAAATTTCAGGGTTCGTGGGTTCGAGTCCTGTCGTAACATACCGAAAATTTTCTCGGGCTTTTTGAAAAGTATGAGTACCCCAAATGTTAAAAAATTACTTGTCTCATTTTTAAAATGCATAGTGAAACGATTTAAATAATGTGTGGACCTTAATTCTAGAGGTAGAGATTTTAGGATACTTAAAAATCCTATAACGCGTTTACGTAAAAAAAAAATACTATACTACACTAATATTAAAAATTTTGAATATTTACGAGAGATTATTGTATTGTCATTCTATTCAAATTTCAACTAAATACGTCAAAGAAATATTTCAAAATATCCTATTATACATGATTTTAGTTTTTATACATTCACAGTAAACGTTTATCATGCGATTTCTTTTGTTTGTTTCAGGCTTAATTGTCAAAATCATGAATCATCTTTGCGAGAATAATGTCCTTTCAAATGAAGCTTTTCTTGCTTGGGAAAAGAACTCTAATCCAGCAGAAAGTAATGGAAAAATGCAAGCACTTGAATCGTTAAAACCTTTTTTTACTTTACTAAAAGAAGTTGAAGACGGATCCAGCGCGGACGAAGCATTATCAAGTTGTTTTTTCTAAAAATTATAAAAATTCTAATTGTAATCATAAATTTATCTCATGCTTATTAAATTTTTTTTAAAGTTATGTAAATTTAAAGTGTTCCAAGCTCCGAGTGGTTCTCAGAAACAGCTCTATAACATGAGTAAGTTACTTTCGTTGTTTGAGTAGCTAATTATAAAAAACTATTATATTTGTTCCAAATAAATAGAAATGTTTTTCGAGGCGTTCTGCTGTCAACTACCTTTGTCTGATATCAAATGCCTTTGTTTTTTTAGATAAAGTGCTAAACAGCATCAAGATGTCGAGTTTTAATTGAAAAACTGAAGAAATTTTTTGTTTTAAGAATAAGTTTATGTTGGGTAAAAAAATTTGCGAAAAAGTGAAGTGAACAAACGTTGAACCGCGGTACTCGAACTTTGCTCATTTTCAATTTTAACTTTTCAAATAAACGTTTGATATACTATTTTTAAAGTGCGTGTCTACGAAAAAAGTCATATTTTTAACGTTTACCTACACATGTTATCTGTACAGTTTATCAGCTTCACAAATAAAAAATATAAGAAGTACATAAAATTCAGTTTTTTTTTTTTTCTTATTCTAAGTAACACGTAGATAAATAAAATAGAGCAGAGATTAAGGTGTATATTTAAAGACCGTTGACTTGAATAACTTTTAAATAACCAAGCACCGTAATAATAATGATTTGACCATAATTTAAAAAAAATGTCAACCAAAAATTTTTTTAAATACGCACTGCAACGCAACGCTTTTTCATTTAATTACTTTTAACTTTTTTTTTATTGCATTTTAGAAAGTATAATTGTGTACACTTATTATAAGATGATTTTAAAAGAAAAATAATTGAAATTAAGATTAAAAGTAATGTCAATAAATGTTTCAATAATTTTTTCCATTCAAGTTTGACATCTTGTGACTGAGTTAGAATTTTTCTCACCACACAAATGCATTCTGTAAATTTCTATCAAGACAATTAGTAACTGAGCATTTTAAAGAATATCTCCAACTTTTTAAAAAGTGAAAAAACACAGAGTTATCTTTGAGAACTACTTTTCTTAGACCAGCTCAAGAAAGGTTTATATTTAATCATATCTTTCAAGTCAAATCATGTTAAGCTATCCATGGAATATTTTTAAGATTAACAATTCATGTAATAAGTGTGGTGCAGGAGTGCGTGTATTAAAGCTTAAAAAAAAAGAAAAGTAAAAAAAAACGTTTACTAGTTGTAATAATGAATAATAACGCACTAGTGCAACTGACGTATTTGAGATACGCTATACATACTGGAGATAAAGATGTCCGAATAATTAGAATAATTACAAATATCTTTGTCTTATAGATAAATATATGTGTATATATGCATGCATACGTATATATAGAAAAAATGGAAATTTTCTGTGAATTCCGAAGGTTATAGTATTTGTCTTCATTTTATGTCGTTTAATTAAATGATGACTTCTGTAGAAGATTTTGTAAAGTATTAGGACCATAAAAGTGAGACGTGTCAAGTAATATATTTTTCTGCATAAAACTNATTTCGCGCCAAGAAGTTTTTCTTTTCAGTATTACAAAGAGTGTGTACGATTCTATTTGTCATAAAAATTTTAAAACATATTAAGCAAACTAATGATTATATTATGCGTTATGTGTGTGTCATTAAATTTATATTAAGATGTGCAGTTTGCTAAGACACTTATTAATTTACCTTATTACTCATTAGTTAATTGTAATTACGTAATGCTAATTTAAACCTTAATTTTAAGCGTTTTACAGCCCCTACTTACACATTTTTCAATTGCATTCTACTGTCTCCTTACACCACCGAACAATCTTAATGACCATTTAATAATACTTGGTCGAAGTGGCAATCTTTTTTAGTTGTGATAATTTTTAAACACACAGTTTCAGCTGAAAAATGAGATACTTTATTTAATATACCCGCTTTTGATGAAAAATATGGAAAAATAAAGATAAATTCTTTTATATATAGAATAATAACTTTATAATAGAATAGCATAACAGCACCATAAGACCACTACTACACAACTACACTACACTACCACTACATAACTACAACAACGTAGACAACGCAAGACTCTAGTACTTTAATTCGGTCTGGTTATATTTTTAATATTGCCTTATTCGATTTCTAATGTAACTTCAGGTTAGCTATGACCCTAAAGTTTTTCGTAAGAAAAGTCTGGCCTGAAAAAACTACGTCTTCATAAAATACAAGCTATCTGTAAGTAAATAGTGCTTAGTTTACCAAAAATATTTAAAAATATAGTAGTGAGAGAAAAATGTATTGACCCTTTCAAATGTTAAGAGACAACTTTGATCTCTAAATCTTCGGTCATTTTTTTATTTAAAATGTGTTAAATGTTGACTACTTTAATTTTATCAGGGTCCTCAAATGAATTTTAGGTTTAAAAGTATATAAATATACACAGTGTATTTAAATTTTTGTTTGTTTATTTTAAAAAATTTTTCAATTAGACACACAAAAAAATTGCATTAGATACATCCACACAATGATATCATTTATAAGATTCGAATTATTACCTTGGGTATGCGAGAGTCTGTAAGTATTTCGATTCATTTCTCAAAAACCGAACGATAGACTAACTATATGGAATGCAACACATCATTGCTTACATAGCCAAAGCAACAAAGGTTGACGATCAAGGGCGTTCAACTCGATTAGGACATTAAAATTTAAATAGTAAAAAGTGAGATAAGCTTTATTGGAAAAAAGCCCATCTTCCATTTGATTAATCTTTTTCTTATCCAATTTTATGTAAAGCATTTCGGAAATAATTCTTTTCTTGTAATTAGATTCGTAGTCAAGGATTTTGATATTATCTCAATCCAATTCGTAGTGAGATGTATTTAGATGTGCACAAATGACAGAATCAGGATTCTTTGCGTATTCGTTTAAGTGGACCTCGGTAACTCGCTTTGTTTTGCCCACACGTGACTACGGACATTGCTGATATTTTATGACAATTATTTTCTTTACATGGTTTTGCAAACAGTATGATTATTTAAAGTAGGTTATAATTAATACATTGTTTTATTTTTATGTTACCCTTATATTTTTGTTATTGAAGCTTGAAAGATAGTTGTTATTTATCAAAATGTTTTTTACTCTAACAACATTAACACTGTAAAACCTTGTCCTAGAAAGTAAAACCGCTTTATTGACTAAATTTTAGACAACATATCTCTTTCAAGTATTTGGATGACCAGAAAAATAGTAGAAGAAAAAAGTATTATCATTTGTCTATAGGATTTTGAGCAATCCTAACCTAAAAGTGCCAAAAAGCGTGTTTTTTGCCCTTTTGCGCGTTGAATATCTCGAAACTATGGAATGATAAGGCAAATCAGACAACGGGATCGTTTTTAGCATGCCAAAATATAGAGAAAACCATACCGAAAGCGTGAAATTTGAAAAATCTTATTTTGTAATACTGAAAAGAAAAACTTCTTGGCGCGAAAACAATTTTTATTAACACATGATATCATCGTTGCACCTCTTTTTTTAATAATTTAAATCGATAAAATTCATGAAATTAAACGTTAATAAAGTCACCCATTACTAACACAAAGTTATTCTATGAAAATTTAAAATGGTGGACACAAAATGGCGTTTAATAACATGGGAAAGTGATTGTTTCCGGCTGTAAGAAACACAGATATCATTCTTTTGTTAAGATCATTTTTTAATAGGTGGCACCTCTGGCGAAATATTCAGATGCATAGATTAAAATGGCCCACCGGGTATACACACAATTTACTTCACAATTAGGCGCTATACCACAACAATTGTCATTTTCGTGTGCTATTGTCAGATGACATCGCTGCTTTGATCAGAGTGAAAACTAATTTCGAATGACTCAATTTGTCTAAATTTCGACTTATTTTAATTTACTGTCTCCTTTCGTAAATGTGTCTTAGCATATGTGTTTTTTAGCTCATGAAGTTGGCTGCTAACGACGAAAAAACACAGCACAATACTTGTTTTGTTACAAACCGGTTTACTGATGGAGTTCACATTACGTATACATAAATATGTCACTGAATTTTTCTCCATTGAGTAAATTGTGTTCTCATGAAAAAGACTAAAGGTTGTTAATATAAAATAGAAATGGAAGAAATGAGCAAAAGAGTAATATTGTCAATTGGGAACAGTAAGGTTTCCTTTCGGCGGAAGACTGTGATAGATGATGAAGAAATGATGAAATTTAATGATTTCAACCAACCGAATCGCTATTATTATTATTATTATTATTATTTTTATTATTATTATTATTATTAACNGGAGGCATGAGATGTTGGTGTTATTATTATTATTATTATTATTATTGCGAATCGATTAGAAAGATGAAATACATTTCAAGCGACAAGAAAAAATTTCAAAAGAAATGCCATTTTGTGTCCACCATTTTGAATTTTCATAGCATAACCTTATGTGCTCATAATGAATGACTTTATCAACATTAATCACATGAATTTTATTGATTTAAATTATTAAAAAAGGAGGTGCAACGATGATATCATGTGTTAATAAAAATTGTTTTCGCGCCAAGAAGTTTTTCTTTTCAGTATTACAAAAAAAGATTTTTCAAATTTCACGCTTTCGGTATGGTTTTCTCTATATTTTGGCATGCTAAAAACGATCCCGTTGTCTGATTTGCCTTATCATTCCATAGTTTCGAGATATTCAAAGCGCAAAAGGGCAAAAAACACGCTTTTTGGCACTTTTAGGTTAGGATTGCTCAAAATCCTGACGTGATAGGGCAATTTGGCCGACGGATTCGGAATCAATGCGAAAAAATACTTAGTATACGACTAATAAATTGAAAAGAAAAAAAAAATAACCCGTTCTTTGCAGGCCTGTGTTATTTTTCCCCTCAAAGATAGTTACATAATAAATTTTAAAACTTGACGTCGTTTACAACTAAAGTCGAACACCTATGATAGAGACCCATAGAAAAGTAGGCAGTAGTCGGACATGGAAAAGCATTATTCAGAAAAGTATTGTTAACTAAATGGAAATATCACCTTGATGAGACTATGCACGCTTTAAAGGTAGTTACGCTGCTTGTAACTGCATTAATAAAATAATGACCACATTATATCATTGTAATAGTTACCTATCGTGACCACTTCTAATGAAGTTTAAGTAATTTTTATGCCATAATTCTGTAAAAGGACCCGCGCATTATGTATTTTTAGTATGTCCGACTACTGCCTAATATAAATTTCAATGTTAGACGATAGATGGTTATCTCGGATAATTTAAAATGGGAAAGAGCGATATACCAAGTCATTCATTTATTTGGAAAAACTTAAGTTCCACACTAAAAACTTCGATCATTCACTTAAATACTGATCTGCTGAGTTCAACTATAGTTTTGTCTACTGTTGTTTACCTTAATTATTGTGGCTTGAACAGAACTTTACAGCTGTCCATGTATACCCTTTAAATTTTAAGTGTCCGGTTTTACTCTCCTTTACCTTAAATCGTTAGTCTATCGATCATTGTTTGACAAGTAAGTCGAAATACATACGAATTCTTGCATCCCTGAAATAATGATTCGTATCTTTAAATAATGTCATTGTGTACATGTATCGAATTAAATTTTTTAATGTGTCTAATTAAAAAATCGTTCGTCCCCCGAGAAAGGTGCTGTGCGCCATCGGTGTAAGAACTGTCGTT